ATAATGGTGTAACCAATAGGCGTATCTCAACGTATTTCATACGGAGAGAGGGAAGGTTTTAACCGGGGAGAACAACAATGGTGTAACCAACAGGCGTATCTCAACGTATTTCATATAGAGAGAGAGAAGGTTTTAACCGGGGAGAAAAATAATGGTGTAACCAACATGCGTATCTCAACGTATTTCATACGGAGAGAGGGAAGGTTTAAACCGGGGAGAACAACAATGGTGTAACCAACAGGCGTATCTCAACGTATTTCATATAGAGAGAGGGAAGGTTTTAACCGGGGAGAAAAACAATGGTGTAACCAACAGGCGTATCTCAACGTATTTCATACGGAGAGAGGGAAGGTTTTAACCGGGGAGAATAACTATGGTGTAACCAACAGGCATATCTCAACGTATTTCATATGGAGAGAGGGAAGGTTTTAACCGGGGAGAATAACGATGGTGTAACCAATAGGCATATCTCAACGTATTTCATACGGAGAGAGGGAAGGTTTTAACCAGGTAAACGTCATATCCTAATACGTTTCACGTGAAAGAAGGAAAGGTGGATTCGAAATCCGAATACGTCTCACGCGAATGGAAGAATGGTAAAATGATTTCTTGCTGACAAAGGGTAATCTCTACATGTAAAAGCCACGGATGCCGCTTTTCTTTCTGATCATATTCACAACTTTCCCTCATTACAAACAAAAGCCAAGATAACTCTGACTGGGAATGGTACTTGGGGGGAGCACTTCTAATCGCCATTCTGGCTTGAGACAGTGAAATAGTCAACAAAGTAATCTGCTCACTTTGAACATACAACTCATATCAGCATGCTGCTCATTCTGAACACGCAGCTCATAACACAGTATTTGGTTTATTCGGCACACAGCTCATTCTGAACAGACAATCTGATCTGAAAAGACAGGACGCAAAACAGAACCTGTAGAAGTTGAAACAAACTCAGATACCCGACATTTTCCTCTTTTGCTTTTGCTTTGCAGTCCGGAACCATATATAGCTTCAGATAGGTCCTGGTTCTACTGTTCTCACATGACCTGGGTTGAATCCTGCGATTTTATGAAAGAACGAATCTCGTTTTGCACAGATGTGGAGAACGGCACGGCACTCGGAGCACAAAACGATTTTATTTTTGAAATTGAGAGATGAGTTTTCGACCAGGTATTGAGCCTACGCCTGAACAAAGCAAAACGACTCAATAAGGAAATAAAAGGCACACAACCCAGACACGTCGAGTAACACTCGAAACGACTCAAAACAAGAATCGAGATAAAACAGAAAGACACGACACTCAGACGTGCACAGGGAGCCTGTTTCACCGGGTAGTGTTTCCCACCCTTTCTCATTTGTGGTTCTCACATCACTCGGCCCTCAAACTCTGTTTTTTCTTAAAAAGCCTTTTTCTCACTTTTCCTCTCATCGCACATCTCTCTATTCTTTGTTCTCTCATTTTTCATCCCTCCCCTGGGTGGTTGATGGATAAACAGCAAATTGTGGGCTCGTACCCCTAGCACTCTGCTAGATTTTCTTTCTTCCGCTCACAGCTAGTGAATTCCTTCCACGGAAGGGTTGCGCTACAACTGGGTGTGTAGCAAATCTGCAGCTAACATCAGTTGATGATGCTTTGTTGGGGAGTTTGGACGTGATAAGATCTGTCCAGATGATGGAGTGGAAAATCTTGCCCCATTCCGGTTCGTGCTTCGCACTTGGCTTGATACCTCGTTGCTTGGAGGATGTGAGAGCTTTCTACCCTTTGTTGTTAACTTCAGTTGTGCCCTATTCTGGCAGGTAGAGTGCCCTTCTTGGCAAGTATGTTGATAATGGGAAAGACAGGAAGCCTGACTCAACTGTGCCCCTAGTTCATCATTTTGACCATTTTTTGTTTTAGTTTTCTCCTAAAAAAAATTTGACCAAAAATGAGAGTTAGATTAACATGTTTGTTCGATTTTCTGATTTAAAATCATGCAAGTCAGGCCATGAGCACTGAAAATTTTCCTCTTTTGGGTCCAAGAAATGGTCCAGTTTTGAAAAATGGAGTACTTTTCAAGAAGATTAGTGTAGACACCCCATTTTTGACCGTCCTCCAGGCTTGGACGTCACCGTTTGAACACACGGTGATCTTCCATGTTTGTGTTCGTTTGGAGTTCCCGGAGGTCTCGGCTCGCGCGCCTTGCCTCAGGGTCCCCGAACTCGACCGTTCAGTGTCTGGTTTTGCACCAAACACTTGCATCTTGCCCT